CACGCACACACATGTTTCCCCATTTTGCTGGCTCCTGAGCCATGGCCTGCCAGGACTCTGCCATGAACCATGTGACCAGTGAACCAGTTGCAGTCCAGCTGAACTATCCCGCACCATTGCTCCCAGTGTAGCTTTCCCTTTTCAACCTTTTTGTCGAAGGTCGCCGCGTCCGCTTCTACATCAGCCCATTTCTCAGTCAGGCCACATGGAAGACATGTCCGCATGGACATGCCGCATGGACATGCACAACGAAAGCAAAGCAGCGAAACATGCTTTCATGAGTTACCTTTGTCAAATGAACCCGTTTTCAGACTTGAGATTCAGTGTTCAGACTTGAGATCCCCATTCATTGTGTGACGTCGCTCTTCCCAGTTCCAGACTTCACAAGACTATTGGATCCCCGGATTGCAGATGGAAGACAAGAGAAAACTCTTTATCTGGATTGAAGATTGAAGATTGAAGATGTCACAAGACTCTTAGCTAAAAATGCTCAATCCAGATCCGTGGATTGGAGATTGAAGATTGAAGGTGTGAGAAAACTCTTGGCCAGAAATCTTCAATCCAAATCCGTGGATTGAAGATTGAAGATCTTACAAAACTCTTGGCTAAAAATCTTCAATCCAGATCCCTGGATTGAAGACTGGGTTGAAGCTTTCTGGCCAAGAGTTTTTTCACATCCTCAATCTTCAATCCATGGATCTGGATTGAAGATTTTTAGCTAAGCGTTTTGTAAGATCTTCAATCTTCAATCCAGGGATCTGGATTGAAGATTTTTGGCCAACAGCTTTGTGAGATCTTCAATCTTCAATCCAGGGATCGTAATCTTGCATCCCAAGTCTGACAGCTGTTCAGACTTGAAAATCCCAAGTCAGTCTGTGTTTGTGTAAGCATAAGTCTTTGGAAGAGCATCAAAGGTGGATCTCAGGGAGTGGGTGGATCTCAGGGGGGGTACCATATATATATATATATATCTGTGTGTGTGTGGGCTAATGGGTCAATCAGGTCCGCATGGTCTCACTCTCCAGTCCTTCAGCTCACCCCATTCCTTCTGAACTGCAAAATCACTACGTGTTGGATCTCAATCCAGTTGCCAGAAGCGACTGGGAAGTCCTTCTGTCAGCTTAAGGCGTTGAACCCCAGAAATCAACTATCGTGTTTTTTTTCCCCGCCTTGGGGCACACAACTTGTCGTGTATTCCTTTGCAGTTGGACCGGAAAAACGGGCACCGGATTTCAAACGGTCTACCAGGCTTCGGACCCAAACCCACATCCACTCCACCCTTCGACTCCAGGCTTGGAGAGATGAATCGGCCGACGTGCCCCGTCTCAATCCATCGGCAAATGATGAATCCTTGGACGACCGAGTCGCCGCTCCGTCCACGTCGAGACCGCCGACCGGTGGCACCGGTGGCCGACGGCCGGACCGGACCGAGTCGAGACCGGACGCGCTCGGCTGGGCACAGGCACTGGTGTCCAGCCAGGAGACCTTTGGATAAGTCGTGTGAAAGTGTCCAAGTCGAAATACTTCAAGTTCCAAAGCAAAGGGCGGCTCCAGGGAGCTGATTCAGTTCCGGCCCCAAGGACGAGGACCCCAAGGAAAAAAGGTATGTAGATTCACTGGTCCATTGGTGGCCCCAACATGTTTGGTGGCTACACTTCTTTTGTTCTGACGGGTGGCCACCCGAAGTCATGACAACCGAGCCCCACGGTGCTTTAAGATCGACACCCTCATGTTTGTGGGCCCCTGCAAATGCCCAAACGCTGCAGAACAGGACTCAGATGCTTTCACCACTTTGCAACCTCTCTGATAGACTGATAGGCTTCCAAGTTCAATCGAAACCTATGCTTGATGGCGCATATGGCATGCAGGGGTCGTTCACCTCTGACTCTGTCATCCTTCTCTTCTTGAATCAGTTGAAGAAGTGAACAGGACGTTAAAAATATGTGGGTGTGTGTCAAAAACCCGGATCATTCATTGTTGACCCCCCTAAAAAATACCAATCAACAAATATACATATTATTATATATATATATATATACATAATGGCCACAGACTTGGGCACAGGATGGAACAGGTGTTTTTTCCGCCCCATCCGCAACTCAACAAACGGCTGCTTCTGCATCCCCTCGGACGAAGCTTCTCCTCCTCAGGCACCGGGATGTCCGCACAGTCAGAGGTGGTCGCCACACCCGCTGCAGGGCCGTTGGTCACAGCTGCCACCATGTCACTGATGTCGGCCGCGCAAAGGGCCTGAATCAATGGTGGAGTCAGACTGCCAAACATGAGAGGGGTGAGGACAAGTCCATGCAGAGAAGGATGAAGATCCTTGGGGGGCCCGGGCCCCACGACGAAGTCAGTTCAGTGATGAGTTCTGGGCCGATCGGACAGTCCTTCGACCCAAACAACAGAGATGGATGATGCCGTCCCGGATCGGGGGGGGGCCGGGTGTGCACACCCAAGAGATCGAGATCGGATCGAATCCTTCCACTGGCCTGAGTGGTGTCTTCACCAAACTACAAGTATATACTTCAACTCTGGTCGGAATAGGAATCACCAAAACTCACTAATTACCGCTCCTTACAGCTCCCTCCTCCACACTGACCATCCAAGAAACATACATCCGAAATCCGAAACATCTCATTTTGGTCGCATGCCAGGGGCGATGCTGCCGAGGTCATGCTGCCGCAGAGGGCAGTCCGAGCGTCCCAGGGAGACGAGCCCCGGTCCCCGTTGCCCCCCGTGTCGCTTCTGGGTGGCCTTCTGGTTCCCCAGCTTCGCGCAATCGGAGACCGCTAAGGCGGTGAACTGCGAGATCCACGCGAAGGAGGAGATGATGTTCCTCAGAGATGAGATCGGTGAAGTTACCTCCTATCATCCAACTGGGTACCTGACGGTACCTGGGTACTTCTGTGCTGATACCTGATACCATGTAGTTACTTGGAACCCATACCTGGAGCTCCATGATTGAGACGTTTAAGGGGATGTCCATTTGGTTCCTGGAACCATACCTGGGAACATGTAAGCCTTGCTGAGACTGGTTGGGTTAGAACCGGACGGACGCCATCCTCCTCCTTCGACTCCTCCAGCTTCGTTGTGAGCCGGTCGTCCGGCCCGAACCCCGAAACCCCACCGATTTCCGGCCGAGGCACATGATGTTGATGGCACAGGCCCTTGGCTGTGGGCAGGACAGGGCTGCCGAGCGGATCTGGAGGATGGCCCGTACGATGTAGGAGGCCGAGTTCGTCACATCCATGACCTCGGGGGCTCCAGTTCCGTGACAAATCTGCGCGTAACCCACATGCGCGCGGGGCCTCGGCCACGCGGGGCATGACGGTGAGGATCGCCCCAGTGGTCTTCGCTGGGTGATTTTGAGGCCCCTTTGGGGGTGTTCCTTAGGCCCAAAAGGTGGTTTTTGCG